AGTAGGAGTCTCACTTTGTCACCCAGGCTGGAGTGCAGTGGCATGCTCATGGCCACCACAGCCTCAACCTGCTGGGCTCAGGTGTCAGGTGATCTAAGTCTTCCAAGTAGCTGGAACCACAGGTACACACCACCACACCCAGCTAATTTTTTAATTTATTGTAGAGATGAGGTCTCGTCAAGTTGCCCAGGCTGGTCTCGAACCCCTGGGTCAGGCAGTCTTCTTGCCTCCGTGTCCCAAAGTGCTGGGATTACAGGTATGAGGCACTGCGCCTGCCTATGGGCTATGGTTCTTAAGGGGCTCTGAAGTAGCAGGAGTGACCGAGGCTGGCAGTGGGAGGAGCAATGCCTCTTACATCCTGCATGTATTAACACGTGTGCTTCTAGTACAACTTTGCTTTGTTTTTTTCTCCCTGCAGACGGGGGTAGAGCCAATTGTACAGAACGGTGCAGTCAGCAGCCCAGGGAGAAGCAGTGAATGTCATGGAGCCCAGCTGAAATGGACTGGCCCCCTTGAGCCTGTCCCAAGCTCTGGTGCCAGGTTTCTAACCCAGTGCTGAGGTAAGACCTTTTGAATCTCAGCCTGAAGAAAGAGAGGACAAAATGCCTTTGGGAGGGTGGGTGATGGACAGGGTTTATGATGAAGAGGCCTCTTCTAAGTTAAAGCTCAGGAAAGAAGGAGCAGTTGTTTCTGGTTCAGTCAAATCGTCTGCTTTGGCCTCAGCCCATTGGAAGGCAAGGTCATCTAGTGGCCAAAGATGCTTCTGATTTGCTGGAGCAGGCTTTTTGGAATCTTGACAGAAAATTGTATTTTCTCAATTGCTGGTGAAACTTAAACTCCAAAGGGAATGAATTTATCCTCCAGGTAAGACTACCAGATTCAGGTGAATACTTAAGTACACTTCTGCTCTGCAAGGGACCTCTTAGGAAACACACACACTCTCCAACCCAAGGGACACAGAGTGACAGAAATTATGCAGGGAGGTTATTTGAAAACATTCCAGAAAACTCACTAAAATTTGATTTTAGTTACTTAGATATGTTCTGATTATAAAGTAATATAGGATGATTGGGGAAAATACTGATATGGAAGAAAATAAAACATGTCTGAAATCCTACCCCTGTAAACAGTCCTTCAGGTAGTTTTCTATTAAAGATTACTCTTTAAGTTTCCACAGGATGTTGATTTCTCCTGCATGGAGGCAGAAAGGTGAGACAGAAAGAACACTCAGTTAGATGCCAGGAAACTAAACTAGAAACTCTCTAGAGCAAATTTTTTATATATTTATATATCTAAGAATTTTGCAGACTAGTTAAAAAATGTTAAAAACTGTTGGTGGCTTTCCATGAGGGGGGGAATTTATGCTATGGAAATGAGCAAATGCTATAAAGGAAGGCTTTTTTTGTTTGTTTTGGAGATTCCAATTAGACAAGCATGCCACTGGTGAGGCTGCCGGCAAGTTAACTTCACCTGTGTGTCCTTCAGTTTCCCCACTTGTGAACAGTTGTGCTCAATAACATTAGTTGCATGAATAAATGAAAGTGAGACTTTCTGTCATTATTATTTCCTAAGATTGTTGTTAGGGTCTCATAAAATGATGAGAATGAAAATGTTTTGCATATGAAGAGCCTTCTTGCTCATGTAGGGAGGGAGTTTCTTTGGTTGGGAAACCTGTGGTTTATTGATGGAGAGAAATTGGCTGCATTCCCCCCTTTGGCTCTTGCTCCTTGGGGAGTCTGTGAATTACTAACACCCTTTTATAAAGGCAGATGAAAACCCTCCATTTACTGGCCAACATCTGGGGCACATTTCCTTCCTGGAAAAGTCAAGAAGTTGGTGGGAGAAGTGTGAAAAGGAAGCCTCAGCAATGCAGGATGTGAGAGCCAGAACTGAAATCAGAGCTTTTGACTCATAATCTCTACTGGGTATGTGGGGGACTTCCTGCCAAATGGGAGATTTCAACAAAAGCCTCTTTCTTCAAAGTCCTGCTGTTGCAGCAGATTAGAGCTAATAAATTAGCATAATGAAGTCCCAGCCTCTGGCCTCCTCCCTCTGCTTCCTGAATCTCTTGGTTCCTTCTCCACTCCTCCTTCATGTGTCCCAAAGGAGGAGATGGGAAGCGGGTGGGACATCAGTGAAGCACTAGTTTATCTTTGTAGAATTGCAGGTTCAGAAAATTATAAAGGTGGTAAGGACTACAGAGGTCGTCCGGTCCCACACTGTCATTTTAAAAGTCCAGGCCGTATATATGGTGATTATCTGTGCATGAGGTGAAGGTGGGTGCTTCTGGGGAGAAAGGGAGGCCAGGCTGAGGGGTAGGGTGCTGCTCAGAAGGCTACCTGGTCACTGAGCCCTTGCATATAACTGGCAAGAGACATGGTGCCAGCCTTGCCTCTGCCCTTCCCAAACCCTCCCCTGTGTCTGCTGCCATAGCCCCAGTGCGTTTCCTGAGGTGCCTTTCTAGTGCGTTTGGAATTAAGTCCCCTTCTTCATCAGGGGTCTGGTTTTCAGGTCAGTCAAACCAGCTACGATCTTATTCTGAGGACCTTTAGGTATATTTATGGGAAATGAAGGGTATTCATTAAACTCATGATGGTGTTTTGTGTTCTGTGTACATGACCTTGTTTAATACTGCAGCATCCTAACAAGGTGTCTATCCCCATGTCGCAGATGTGGAAATCGAGTCTCAGAGAGGTAAAGAAATGTAGCCAAGAATCCACAGCTTATAAACCTGTTTTTGAGTGTTCTTTATGGCAAATACTCGCCGGTGCGGGAGTTCCAAAATCCAGTTCCAACGTGCAGAGTCCCTCCCCTTGGGGAACATCATTCCATCTCTGAGGTTCTGTGAACAGCTGCAGCTCAAAGTGGTTGGAGCTTTATGAAATGCTGCACTGTTCCTTTCAAGTCCCAAGGGCTCTTCCTTGCACAGTAAGATAACATCAGAGCTGGGAGAATTTCTAGAGTCTTACAGTATAGTGGTCTTGTTCATTTGATGCCCCAGGAGGTGAGGTGCAATGCCGGTGGGCCCCCGGATCTCCTGGCTAGTTATAAGTAGGGGGCTTTTCAGCTTCTGGACTCTCGGAACCCTTTCCAGAGGAGCACATTGAGATAAACATGCTTGATTTTTCCCTCTATGACAAGGGAAAAGATTATTCCTCTGGCAGGAGGGATTTAATTTAGTCCCACAAATGTTTACTAAAAGCCTACTCTGTGCCCAACCAAATATCTCAGTCTGTTGGACAAGAAATTCTGGCCCAGTCTTGGGTATACAGATCTGACAAGGGACAAGAGAAGGCTCTTCTTGACTTCAAGACAGCACACAACCTTCTCTTTCCCGTCCCTCCTGTCCACTTATCCCGTCCACTCATCTCTAGCATTTCCTTCAAAACACTTATCCCGTCCACTCATCTCTAGCTTTTCCTTCAAAAACACTAAAGAGATAAATTATGTCTCAAGTTGCTGTGTGCCCCAAGGTTCCCAGACCCCTGAACACAGAATTTAAGTGCTTAACATGTTAACTGGAGAAGAAAGCAGCAGATGGGGGTAGGGGGGATCAGATGCTGGAAGATCCTTGCAGAGAGATGGGGCCGAGGGGAGGAGGCAGAGTGGCAGAGGGAGTGAAGTGGGGATGGTGCTCTGCTTTCAGTTTCTGTTCAGCGGGGCACTTGGGGAACATGAACTAGAGCTGAAAGAGTTTTTTGGAAGACTTGTTGGCTAGCTGTCACATTTTTCAATTGAGGAAGTGGAGTCTTGTTTTTGGCGCAAGTGGAGCTGGAGTTTGTTCTCCTGACTGGTCTGGTCAGCTTCCTTTACGCCAAACCACCATGGCAGTAGAGGCAAGGGTGTCTGGGGCTCACAGTGTTCCTTGGGGGGATTTTTGGTTAGCTCTCACATTTTTCAATTGAGGAAGTGGAAGGGCCTTGTTTACAGCACAAGTGGAACTGGAGTCTGTTCTCCCGACTCTTTGGTCAGGGTCTTTTACGTCAAACCACCATGGCAGTAGAGGCAAGGGTATCTTGGGGAGCAGGCACAGCCCACTTCTGGCCTAGCCATCTGGTCCAGAACCTCTGAAAGGCTGGGTTTGGCTGTGGAAGGAATTTGTGGCAATGGCAGCTCAGGAGGGAGAGGATGTCATCTCAATGATGCCAGAGATTTCCTATAGCCCCAGCCCCCTACCTGCCTTTGAATTCTTCCTAGAGTTCTTGCTTAGGCCAGAGAGTTGTCATCTGTGGCTTCAGGCTGGGACTTTGCCATTGTGGAAGGGCATCACAACACAGAAAAGTTTCCCAGCGTTGAAGACATTTGACCTAGGGTTGAGCCTGACTTGACCATAGTTGCATGACCACCTTGACTTTCTGACCCATTTCTTCATCTGTAAAATGGCCTAAATAATACTTACCTTGAGTGATAATTATTTACATAAAGTCTTTTTTTTCCTACAAAGGAGATGCCTATTAAATGGTACTCATTATTGTTTTTTCATTTAACTTTATTGAGAAATAATTGACAGACAAAAACCTGCATGTTTTAAAATTGTACAACTTGATGAGTTTTGCCATATGTATGTACTCTTGAAATGACTCTCACATTAAGTTAGCAAACATAAACCTTATCCTAAAAGTTTCCTTTTGAGCCTTATCCCTCTGTGCCTCTTTCCATCTCCCACCCTCTATCCCTAGGCAGACACTAGTCTGCTTTCTATCACTATAGGCTAGTTTGTGTTTTCTAGAACTTTATGTAAGTGGAATTATACAGCATGTACTCTACTTTCACTCAGCATATTGTTTTGTTGTTCATTCATGTTGTTATGTGTATCAGTTTATTTCTTTATCACTGAATAGTAATAGATATATGGCTAGCCCATATTTTATCCATCCACCTGTTAACAAACATTTGGATTGTTTTCAGTTTGGGGCCATTAAAATAAAGTCACTATAAACACTTGTGAAAAATTTTTGTGGGGACATGGGCTCTTATTTCTTATGATTAAATTCCTAAGAGTAGAATCAGTAAGCTTTTAAGAGTAGTAGTTTCATTTATATGATAGATATGTTTAACTTTTTAAGAAGTTGCCAAACTGTTTTCTACAGTGGTTGTACCATTTTACATTGCCACCAGCTGTGTACTAGAGTTCCAGGTGCTCCACCTCCTTGTCAACACTTGGTATTGTCAATCTTTTTAGTTTTAGCTATTTTGATAGGTTTGTGATGATACCTCATTGTAGTTTTATGTAAATTTCCCTAAAGATGAATGATATTGAGCTTCTTTTCATGTGCTTATTTGCCATCTGCAATGTCCTTTGTTTAAATGTCTGTTCATATCTTTTGCCCATTTAAAAAAATGGGTTGCTTGCCTTCTTATAATGTATTGTACTATAGTAGTTCCTTAAATAGTCTACAGACAAGTTCTTTATTGGGTATGTCTTGCAAAAATTTTCTCTAATTCTGTGGCTTGCTTGCACATGGCAGGAGACAGAAGCAAATTCAATTGAATAAGTGCTGTGTATAGAAAGTACAAAGGAAGAGGAATAGTCTTAGGGTGGGAAGTTAGGAAAGCTTCC